AATGTTTCTCTTGGATTCAGTCACTTGGAATAACCAAGTCATATTAAGGTAACATGCTCATCTTTACATTTTTAATCAATAAAATACCATAAACTTGGACATATCACTCATGTCCTCTGAATCTTGATCTTACATAAAAGTTGACAATACCAGCAAATGGGATAATGTATAGGAAATCCATCTAACCTAGCAAAAAACATTGTAACATAAAAATAAGTAAGAACAATAGCTATCATGTGTCATAACTTTCTTAATACTCCTGATAAAAAGGAAATTAAAGAGCTAAAAGGAGTAAAGAGGTAATTGTTCTAGAGACTAGAAGTGACATTCCAGATCCATATTGGCTAGAGAATTTGACCCAACTGGTCCCAAATACTTGTCTTGTTCCAACAGTCCTCAGTATGAGCACAAGTAATTGTTCAGAGAGGACCCTATGAACAGCCCAACGGACAGCGATGCTACTCTATTGGTTCTTCTGAAAATTTATTCCAAGAGATTGCCATTCCCAGCTGGTGTTTTTTATTTGAATTATTAATTGAGATTTTAAAAAGCTGAAGACACCTGAGGTTCCCTCAGTTTCCTTCACAGAGTGAATTATAAAAGGAAGAATGAGCCTGCCACTTGAGCTTTGACACACAGCTCATCAAAATTAAATGGAAGGAAAAAAATTGAGACTCAGAATTTCAGAGCTTGAAAGTAACCTTGGAAATCATCTCATTCAACAGATTATCAAATACAAACCTGCCCATGCTGTACAGTTCTTTATGGAAAAGCTGGGACTTTAACCCAACCCTTACCTCCTAGGTCAAGGACCTATTCACTGACCAAGTCCTCATTCTAATAATATAACATTAGACCAAGCACTAAGTACTTAAACTAAACATAGTTCTTAGTGCTTACCCTAAGACTACCAGTACCAGTACTCAAGTCTGTGCAGAAGCACATATCCAAATTGTAAAGAGTGATGAGGATACTGAAACAACCTTCTGCTCCTAGTTCAGAGAGAAGCATCTAGACAGGGCAATAGTGGATATAGAGAAGGTTGTGATTTAAAAAAAAAAAAAGACACACACACATATGAAGCAGCTGGGCACTGGTGGCTCAAGCCTGTAATCCTAGATACTCAGGAGGCTGAGATCTGAGGATCATAGTTCAAAGCCAGCCCAGACAGAAAAGTCTGTCAGACTCTTATCTCCAATAAACCACTAGAAAACTGGAAGTGGCACTGTGGCTTAAGTGGTAGAGCGCTCGCCTTGAGCTGAAGAGCTGAGGGAGAGTGCCCAGGCCTAGAGTTCAAGCCCCATGACTGACCAAAAAAAAAAAAAAAAACATGAAAGAAGATGGTCCGGTATGAACAAGGTCATTTTGTGATGGAAAACAGAACAAAGAAGGGAGAGAAATCGGAAGCTACTCAGAACAGGAAAGGAGATAATAAAGGGAGTCAAGGTGGCTGCAGTGGTTAACAGCAGCTCTTCCTTCTCCAGAGCAAACAGCACTCTAATTCTCCATACCCACTATCACCACACCATCACCAGATGGCCACCTGAATGCAAACTAGTCCAGGAAACAATCATTCTCTAATACCTCTTTGCCTCCTGAAGGCTGTGTTAGGACCCCCTTCAAGGCACAGCACAATTCTTAGTTCAGCTCTCTTGCTGTTTTTATACAACTCTAATACTCCACAATTGTGCATCCACAGTTCTCCACTGATGTCTCCAATCACCAGACTGGCTCCCTGAAGTCCATGGTGGTGGTTTACTCATCTTCTTAAATCTAGCACAATGCCTGGGACTGGTAGCAACTCGTTGACTATGTGGGAATAAAAGTCTTAACTCAGCTATTACCCTTTCTGGGAATTCATTTCAGAGCTGGTTTGGGTCAGAATCTTTGCTTTGTGTTGACTGTGCCTCTTCATTTTCTATAGTACTAATGTGTTTCTAATCATGGGACCACCAACCATGACAACAAAACTACCCAAACACTTGTTTGAGTCTCTGACTAGACTGATGATACTTTGAAGCTAAGAGTAAGCTTTTTCTTCCTTTATCCTCAGCACCTATCATCATGCTTAAAATCACAAGATCTTGCCTGTATAATGGATGGATAAACAGATGAATGAAAGGGTGCCAAAAGAAATGCTGACAGAACAAGCAATCTTCATCACAGAGACACTCAAAAGATACTCCAGGAAAACCCATCTCTTGCTCAGAGAGTGGGTTCCAAGAATGGCAACACAGTTTTCAGTGTTTCTCACAGCCTCTGCTGCCAGGAAAAGACCAAACACCCCCCATATCCAGGAACAAAGATCAAATAAGCCCTCCTTCAAGTCTTATTGCTAGATGGCACCTGTTGCTAAAATAGCATCTGGTAAGCATTACATTTTATTCAAAACAACAACAAGGAAACCAACCAATCTACTGCAGGAAGCAGCAACATAATGACAATACAAAATCATGAGGCTAAATATATAGCAAGTAGAAATACAGAATTTCAGCAGTGAAAGGCAAGGAAGGAGCTACTGCTGCCTGAGGGGAAGGGGGGGGGGGAACTGAAGTGTTGATTAGAAATTACTCAGCCTGTGTTGAAGAGAAACCAGGGAGGGTGGATGGGAGGAGAAAGAGGGGAGGAGGGAGAAAAAAAGAGAGGGAGGGAGGGAAGGAGAAGGAGAGAGAATGGGGAGGGAAGGAGGAGAATGAATGTAGGGATTTTTTTTCTTGGTTCTGTCTCATTTTTAATCAGTCTTTTCCTTTCCCTCCCCCTTCTTACACCCCCGAAGTGGGAATTCATTGATTGGGCTTGACTAACATTTCTTACCTTTCCTAGCATGGTTTCTCTGTGAGGAATGAGTCTGAATGCAACTCATCTTTGACTGCAGCTTCTCTTTCAACCCCCACCCCAGCCGCCATTGTTAGCTCCTCTACTTTGCAAAGGCTGGTAGGCAGCCTCTCCTTCCACACCTGTGAAGGCAGGGACCTGATGAAGGAATGATGCTAGGGGGTGGTCAGTGGCATTGTAGAAGTCAGTCCCACTTACAGAGCAAAAGAAGCCCAGACATCTGGCAGATGAGATAGCCCTGATAAGTAACCTGTTGCCTGCTTCCAGACAGAGGCAGCTTCTCCAGGTAGATGACAGAAGACACAGACAAAGCATCACCTCCCACCAAATAAAATTAAAGCAAAACACTCTCCAACAAGAAACCAGAAGGCAAATTGGAAGCATAAATAAGACTGACCTGGGGTCTGGGAGACTTGGAATAACACCCCAGTGGACCACTACTGTACTTACTGTTTCTCTGGGCCCTAAATTCTATAAACCTAGGAGGCTAAACTAGATTTCCTATAGCCCCTCCACTGAAAGGTTTCTTTTTCATAAGAAGCTGTTAGCCATCAAAAGAAGCCATATGTCCTCCTATTCCTTGAAAAGTCCCAGAGTGCTCTTTTTTCATTAGACCTGCAAGGTGGGGGAGACAGGGAGACCAGAAAAGTAGCTCTGATCCGGGACCCTTCCTAAAAGGTGGCTGATTGGGGGGAGGTTGTAATACAGGCTAAGTTCCTCTGGCAGAGAAGATAACTGAGAAATAGAGAGGCAAATCGGGGAATTTGAATCAGCGAGGATGGCAGTGGAAGGCACTGGGAGGCTCGAGGAGTGGGGGGGGGGAGCATGGATCAGCCAAACCCTGAAATTAGAGATGATTCATATTTGACTAGCGTGGGAGGGATGAACTCAGAACAGCCAAGATAAGAGGCTAACTCTGCTGAGTGTGCTTCCCACAGCCTAAACCCAGCAAGGGGGCAAGAGTTATGTCAGGGATCTTTCATTTGAAGTAGAAAGACTTGTAAGCAATCAATAATCTTACTCTGAAACTCAGGGAAATAAGGGTATTTGCCTTCCTTTCCTCTTAAATATATCTTATCCTCTTTCAGGGACGTGGCTTAGATATTTTAAGCTGATTCTGGTTTTCCCTAGTGATTTGATTTTTTTTTTCCCTTCCAGATCTCACGACAGGTGCCATCAGAGGGGACAAAACTTCTTTTAGCTGCTACTTGCCCTTTACTCCTGTCTCTGCCCCTCTCCTGGCCTGACACCCTGTTTCCTCCTTCCAATATCTCCAACTCCCTTCAAATGGTTGCTTCTACCAACATCCAAGCTATCTAAACCCTCCTCCTCCTCCTCCTCCTAAGCCCTTCTCAAGAAAACTGCTCTGTGAATGGGAGCCTACTTGTTCCTTAAGCAGCAACTGACTTAGTTTTGGAAAAGGGCTTTTCCTAGCCCTGGCAGGATGGAAAGAAAGTTCCCAAAAGGGATAAGGGGACACCGGGGCCCAGCTAGACCCGTGATTCCAGTGTTTAGGAGGAGCCAGTGCCTCTCAGCCTCTTCCAATTACCTTCATTGGGGGGAGGGGAGTTCAACTATCTGAAAGGGTTTTCTTCTTTCACTATGGGGGCCACTCTGATACCAGTGAGACGGAGCCAGGCCCTAAATCCCCATCTCCTTACCCTCTTCCCTTGCCCTTCGGGAGCCAAAGAAAATACCCAAGCCATCTTCCTGCTACTCTAGGGTAGGAACTGGAGAGACACTCTCCTACTCCAGCCTCCAGGAAATCAGTCCTCTTAATGAATCAGTTCCCTCCTCCGAGCTTTGATTTTTTTTTCAAGCCAGCTTTTTCAAGCCCTAGAACATTAGAGACTCAGGATGAGATGAACGGCTGTATGGAGGGAGAGATGCATATTCTAAAGAACCACTTCACAGCGACAATGAGTCAAACACCTGCATCTCCATCATGTGTAACGGGGCTTCTCTCGCCAGCCTCCCCCATCACACACACATACACACACTCTCTCACACTCACACACACTCACTCGGCCCCCTCCCCCACGTACCACCAGCCCCGCTGAGCAGCTTTGACCATCAACAAGAAGGAAAAGGAGGGAGAGGGTGAGGATCCCACCACCACGGGAAGAGAGACAAAGTTATTCATCTCGGAAGGAAGCGACTCTTACCTGTTAGGCAGAAGAGAGCCATCCACCCCAACACGACCCTGTCCATTTTCCCCAACTTCCCATCCAGATTCGGAGTGGGCAAAGTGGGCAGCCGGCGGCCGCAGGCGGCCACGAAGCGCGG